AATTTTGAATACGAGTCTCTAGTATGTTGCTCTCACAAACAACAAAATCTATTTAGGAGATATGGATATTCCAGATGAGTTATGTATCCTATATACAATACAATTGACCTAGGCAAGTGAGTAATAATAGCATTTTTATTCACATCATTTGGGGTAAGATTTGATAAGGACCTTGCATCAAAGTTTTTTTTAATATTTAGAGCATATGGCGAAATATATCATAATCTTCATGTTCTAATTTCGTAAGTAAACAATTCTTCACACTTTCAGTTTTACTTCTATGATACAAATAATGAGTTATAACATTGAATGAGAATATTATTTTAGATAATATAAATATGAGTGAAACATCAACTAAAAGTTAACGTGTATGTGTCAAACCACGACTAAAAGTTTAATGGACATATTACAAGTAAATTCATATATAAAGCTTCTTTGCGAATTGAATGATCACCCATCTTTTGAAAACTTCAAGATACTAATAAATAGAGATGTTATACTATATTAATGAGTTTATAACTCACAAATAGTAGATCACGTGACCACAGTCTGGATTGAAAGGAAACAATGACAATATTTTATTTGAGAGAGAATTTATTGAGTTGATGATCAATATCACAAAAAACTTTGTTTTATTTATTTATTTTACTCTATTTTTATTAATTTAAATAATCATGATATTTAACCACGTCTATTTAAAATCATGAATATATCAACCATTTCTTTATTTTCCGATTGTCTGGAAGGGACAAAAGAAACATCTTGTTTTTTCTTCAAAAAATTCTGATCTCTAGTGGACCTCTCAGTAGGATTCGAACCCAGATGAAGTTCTGACCATCTGTCAGAAAAAATTCTGATCTCTAGTGGACCTCTCAGTAGGATTCGAACCCAGATGAAGTTCTGACCATCTGTCAGAAAAAAAAGAATGAATTGATCTTGTAGGATTCCCAAGAAATTCTTCGATTTCTTTAGGAAGCAGATGATTATTCATCTGCTTCTCAGGTTTGGTGAATAGCCGGGACATTGAGGAAGACAGCTGAAAGGAAATTTCTATAATTATACGGTTTATTTTTTTTAAAAAATGCCAAGTAATGTGGAAAGGTTTATTTTTGGACGTTAATTAAAAGTAGATAACAAAAATGACAGCTGTGGGATTTGAACCCACGCCCTTTCGGACCAGAGCCTAAATCTGGCGCCTTAGACCACTCGGCCAAACTGTCCATGTAGTCCGTAAGAACAAGTAGAAATATAAAACAAGGTAATTTTTGGGCTGCCGGCCATACATGATAATTCTGGAGCTCCCAGTCCCAGATGATAGCAGTTCTTCATCAAATTCGGAAAAAAAAATGTAAATATTTTCCCATTTTTAAACGTCTTAACAGCACAGTATTCATGATATTCGCCTTTATTCCTTTCTCTGAATCCGACTACAAAAGCTAACCGCAATATTCGCAACCCAGCGGGCGCATAATTTTATAAAAACCCTACCGTCTCTTTTGTTCGATTGGGACGGAGATTCCCCATACCTATTCTTTTCTCTCATCTCAACTTTGACCCATTACTCTGCAAATATGACCTCATTTTCTACCGAGAGGCCACGCAAGATTCTGACCGGCACTTCCCTATCGATCGCTCCCAAACGATGGCAGTTCTTCAGCAAGTTCGGAAAAGGGTAAATTTTTTTTTTTTGCCCCCATCACAGGTTTCAGTTTCAGTGCATTATTTAATTGTTAATATGACCTATGTCTTTTTGTTTGATTGGAACGGGGATGCTCATACATTATTTTTTTTTCCCGTCGCATTTCAAATTTAACCAAGAAAAGTTGCAACTTGTAACAAAAACGTTTTGTTAAATTTTTTTTTTGTGTGTTGTACTAAATTGTCAGCTCAAAGTGACGCATAAGTAGCAAGATAAGTCAAAATCGGCGCAAAAAATATGAAGAAAACAGCAGACACGATACATGTTTCCCACACGCACCCAACACGATACAAGTTTGTGATGGAAGTTTTATGCTACGTGGGTATTGGCTCTAAAATTGCTCTCATTTCAAATAAGAGAACTAAGACATTTGTGATAAAATTACACATATTTTCCTTTTAGTCCGGCAATCGAGCTACTGGAAAAGAATAATATTATGACCAAAGAAAAAAAAAAATTGCCGTGCTTTTTCCCCTGCTGATCCAGTCCGGTATTGCTGGTACAACTGTTCAAGGGTCATAATCCATTGTTCATATGATTTTCAAGATACAGAATCATAAGGACGATCTTAAGCACACACCCCGTGTTTAGGCTTTATCAAACTTAATGCACCAATTGGCAATACTTGTATCTGTTCTATACTTCTATGGTCCTACTGTAGTAGCTAATGATGCGTACAGATATTTTTGACGACGTATGAAACTGTTTTGTGAGGATCTTTGTTATTCACCATTTTTGTAGTCGGACAAATTTTCAAAACCAACCCATTTGATAAACTATTCCCAAAAAAAGACCCATTTCAGTTTTATTTGCAAAAACCGACCTGGTTTCAGCCTCAGCGCTGAAACCAGGTCGGTTTTTGAAAAAAAATTTCCGAAACTTCACGGGAGTTCAACTCCCGTGAAGTTTTGTTATGAGAAAAAACTTCACGGGAGTTGAACTCCCGTGAAGTTTCGTAAAGTCACCTAGAACTTTTTAAGTAGAACTGGGATAATTAGTAAAGTGGGATAATATTTTGACACTGGGATAATTTAGTGGAATAATGATGTGTAATTCTTAAAATGGGATAATTTGGTAGGATAATTTGGTGGGATAATGATGGATAATATTATGAAGTTGCATAATTTGATAGGATAATTTGGTGGGGGTAATGGTGGGTATAAATTACTATTGTTAATAATTGTATATTAAAAATAATATAATATTGATAAGCAAATTCTAGTAATAACTATAAACTATAATGCAATAAAGCATCACTATTCATCTCAAATAATAAAATAATTTACAAATAAATAAAAATCTAAATTCCTAGAGTGACTCGACTTTCATCATCCCACATGGCTTCTATCATCCCACATGACATCTGCCATAGAATTTCTCCAAGCTCCTACAGCTGCTCGTTAAGTCTATAACTCGTCTTCTTTATCGGAGTCATCGTCTGCATCAGCAACATTTTGTGGAGCTTCTAACGGAGGATCATAAATGTCAAAGTTCAAATATCATAACATCATAAAGAAAGAAAAATAAGCATTTTTCAGCTATTAACCCTTTGGACCAATCTCATCATGATCGTTGAAACCAAATCAGCAAATAAATAAAATGTACACAGGAATCATCCATGGCCGCTAAACAGATGATCGATAGATGAACTATAAATATCCCAATTAATTTACTGAGCCGATTTAATAATAATAGATAATAGATATCACCATTAACCATTCAACATCTAATCATCAATGTGATCGCAAAGTTGCTTTCTAACTTATAAAAAAAACATAAATAGCCCGCATATCTTTAGCACTAACCCACCAACACTATATTCTTAACCTAAACCACTGTTGTGGAGAGAAAACTTAGATCAAACAAATAATAATAAAGTAATTTCTCCCAATTGTAAAGATAATAATAAAGATCTAATCATCACAAAAACAAAGTAAAGATAAAAAATGAACGGATGATTGACTTAATAGCAGATAAAATTTCTAGGCGGAGAAACTAACCAAGAGGGAGGGAGGTGGCGTTTTACTTTTTTTTCCCAATTGTATTCTTTCCAATGTGTGGGATAATTTAAGAGAGGAGAACTTATGGTTATATATATAGGTAGTATAATTTGTGGGATAATTATGACCAATTATCCCAATTCTAATTCTAGTAGAATTCTACTTGACTAACGCACCAAAAAAATAATACAGTTCTAGTTCTACAAAAGTTCTACTTGACTAACACTATAAAAAAAATATCCCATTTCCTAGTTCTATGTGACTAACACCTTAAAAATTTATCCCACAAATTATCACAGTTCAAGTTTTAAGTTCTAGATGACTAACCCCCCCGAAAAGAATAATATTATGACCAAAGAAAAAAAAAATTGCCGTGCTTTTTCCCCTGCTGATCCAGTCCGGTATTGCTGGTACAACTGTTCAAGGGTCATAATCCATTGTTCATATGATTTTCAAGATACAGAATCATAAGGACGATCTTAAGCACACACCCCGTGTTTAGGCTTTATCAAACTTAATGCACCAATTGGCAATACTTGTATCTGTTCTATACTTCTATGGTCCTACTGTAGTAGCTAATGATGCGTACAGATATTTTTGACGACGTATGAAACTGTTTTGTGAGGATCTTTGTTATTCACCATTTTTGTAGTCGGACAAATTTTCAAAACCAACCCATTTGATAAACTATTCCCAAAAAAAGACCCATTTCAGTTTTATTTGCAAAAACCGACCTGGTTTCAGCCTCAGCGCTGAAACCAGGTCGGTTTTTGAAAAAAAATTTCCGAAACTTCACGGGAGTTCAACTCCCGTGAAGTTTTGTTATGAGAAAAAACTTCACGGGAGTTGAACTCCCGTGAAGTTTCGTAAAGTTTTTTAGAAAAACCGACCTGGTTTCAGCGACAGTGCTGAAACCAGGTCGGTTTCTCTAAATAAATATGAAACGGGTCGTTTTTTGCAATTAGTTTATCAAATGGGTTGGTTTTGAAAATTTGTCCTTTTGTAGTCGTTATATTCCCAAAAACAAGCAAAGCAAAGCAAAGCAAAGCAAAGAAAACATTTTCTTTTTTGGTTTGAGAAAAATATACTTGTATATGCTCTATAGTCATAGTATAGTTTTATTTTTCACTCACTTTTTTTCCATTTAAAATTGGTTTAAACTTTAAATATCCTTACCCCTGGATAGTCCATGTTTCTGCAGAAGGAATACTTATAAGTAAAATAGCAAAAGACCTAATCTAATGACACTAGTACCTCTGGTAAAAATAAAATTTATGTTTATTGTAGTTCAATGTCCGATGATATACATAGTGCAAGGTTAAGTGTAATACAATAAAGAATCAATAAAATTTAAGAAAGTGCTTGTTCCCAGTTTTCCATCATCATAATAAGAACCATTCATTACACGGGAGAACTTTCCTACAAATCATTCCCAGTATACTTTTACACATTAAAAGAGAAATATTACAACAGCTATAATAAACAATAAAAACAACAAATCAATGAAAGAGCTCCAATCTCCCAATAATCCAGTACCATCATGAGAACCGTCCCATGATAAAACAATCTCCTTCCTGCTGTCTGTCACCTCTTTTTTCACTCCTGCCTCAGCCAATTTCATATGAGATATAAAATGAGGAAAAACTCTCTTATGAGACTCCTCTCCGATAAGAAGATCAGAATGTCCAAAATCCTCCACTACTATCCTCTTATGATGAAACCCAGGTTGATGCAATCTCATGAACTTATTAGCAAGTAGAGTTGTCTGTGGAGTCACTAAAAGACTTCTACCTCCCGAAATGTACAATGTAGGGAGAGGCATTCTTTCTGGATGTATCAAGTATTTGTTCTTACCTTTAGAGTCTACAATAAAACCTGAGGTGCAAATTCTTCGTAGATGCGGGAAAGCTGATAGTGGGAGTTTTGGTTGGCTTTGTTTGTTCAACCAATGATGCATAGTGTTGCTAATGTTCGCATGCCAAAATGGATTTCCGAAAATGCCGGAAATAATCTCACACACATTGCACGTGCATCGTTCGTTTCTCGGGATCAATTTGGCTATGGACTTTACAAGCTTGTGCCGTAGGCTGTCCTTTGAGATGTGTAGTGACAATGTCCGGTTCTTCCCTAGAAGTGCCATAGTTATCTGCATGCATTAGGGGCTATTATCTCAGGAACTTGCATTATTTTGCCCCAATAGGGTAATTAAATAAGTCATTTCATATTTTGAAATAACAATAAATTTTTTCCTTTTTTAAAATCAGGGAGGTTTTGTGAGACACGCTATTGTCGGGGATTAAGTAAAAAATTCGTAGTTGAGTGGGGTTATCTAAAACGACCCCAAAATTGAACGGCGTTTACTCTAATTAAAATAGTTGAGGGTTTTTTTTGGGGACACCCCCATAGTTGACGGGGGTTTCTGAAATTAACCCTACAAGTTTGAACATTTCTTATTATAGATAGGACGAAAACTAGCAATCCTACTTAATGAAATCTTATCTTGAGCAGCATAAAGGTTAGCTCCAATTTAGAGAGAATGGAAGGAACGTAAAATGTTGAAGTTTCTTTAGCAAAGATAGACAGATGAATATAAAGATTTAAAGTTACCGGTATGAGAGGCAGCCACATCTTGACTAAGGCAGAGGTAGTTAGCTTGAAATACATGGAGGAGTTGGTGCAAGAGAGAGATGCTATGTGAGTTGCGGAAATATGGCCTCCCAATAGAGCAATGTGGATTGCTAAGCCCCCAACACAATGTGCAATCACATGGATCTTAGCATTCGGTCCATTCATCCCAAGAATTTGTTTGATAACTGATCAAATATTGATAGAATGAGGTTAAACCCTGTTTTAAGGCAATTATTTGTATGAGTTCAAATGTAAGGTTCTCACCTGAGGGAATATCGAACTTCCCAATATCTTCAATTGTGAAATTGTTTGAAGGATGTGAAGGGTGAAGTCGTGGTCGAAGAAGCCACGTCTCATGTCCTTCTTCAAGTAATGTTCGAACCAAATCTGTTTTCTCAGTTGGTAGACAATAACTCTCTCCTGAGTGTCCATTAAGTAAAAGAACTGGATATCGAATTTTTTCTTCTTCAGAATTCCTTGCATAGCATTTCCATTGTTGACAACTTATTGTGCATCCATCTTCTGCTTATCTCATAAAACTAAATATTAGTTAAAGCAAACAATGGTCTTAACTCTCTTTAGTAAGTAGGCTTTAGTTAATTACCCGTTTTTAGTTCGTGAACTGCACTTGGTGGATAAGGAATTTCTATGGTGTCTGATAGGCCAACGTCACATTTTATTTGTCGAGGTATCTGTAAGATATAAGTTCTCCAAAGGCTTTGTAAAAGAGAGCGTACAAATTCCCAGCTATATTTCCCTTCCAATCTCCAGAAACTCTTCACGAGTTCAAACACTGATATGTGAAGTTCTCCCCTAAGATTGATCAGTACCTCAGAATCATTTGTGGGGAGTGTTCTGAAACTAACATGCAAGGTTGTAGACTCTTTAAAACCATACATTGCCAGTAAATAGGGATTCATTACCTTCTGTCCCTCGAAAATGTACCTGCATCATGAGAAAGCTTATCGTGTTGACAAATTTAAAGCTTTTAAAGTATGAAGAAGAGTCAGTTTTGCTTTTGAGATATATTACCTTGACCCTGATGATGCAGCTAAAATTAGTCTATAGTGCATATACTGTGTATAGGGAGTTCTAGCGTCTATTTTGCACATGTCCACCTTTCCGTCGACAATATAGAGTTTATCCTTATTAACCGCTTGGAATACTACATATCCACCGACTCTCCCTTTTAATAGATATTGTGTGTCGCCTACAACTGAATCATTTTGGTCACAGTTGTCCTTATCCAAGGAATTCATCTTTAGTACAATATAAGCTGTACATGGCATTCCCCCAATAAAGCCTCTCATAGTTTCTTTCACTGTGACTTTTTCACAGGTTCTCATAGTGAGCTTTTCGCTAATGGAATGTGAATCCGTAGATTCAATAGTTTGAAGATGTTGGATTGTTCCTTTGAAGTTTAAAACATCTTGCACTAGATTCCTACTTACTTGCTCAGCTACTGTTGTAATTGTGAGGCAAGGGTTTATGCCTATCGAACATGGAATCAATGAAGCATCACATACATAGAGGCCTTTATGCACTAAATCTTTAGCACCATTTGTATAGAAAACCTGCCCTTTTGGATTACAAACTCCATTGGATGCATCTGATGCCGCATTGCACCCCCCTAATAGATGAACTGTTGTGCTCCGATATCTAGACATAAATAGAATACCTCCTAATTTCTTAGTGATATTCTGAAATGCTAGGATCTTTTTAGGGAGAAGAGGATCATGAGGAGGAGTGACGCATATCTTTTCTGTTTCTTCATCTAATGTAATTATGCCGTTGCATGCATCATAACCCATTGCATTAAGAACCACTGCTTCACTAGCTTTAAAACCCATCACATGCTTCAATTTGTCGATTAATCCATGTAAGAAGGAGAAACCATTAGGCCATCCGTAGGTTGTTACTCCTTTAAACAACAAATAGGGGTATGATCTTGGAACCACTCCACTCTGCATGTTAGATCATTAATAAAGGGTTTAATAGATAAATTGCTGCACATAAATAGAAATTTGGGTTAATTGTGGAATCGCTGATAGACTCCCTGTACTGTCGCCAAAATTGAACTTACTGCCTTTGTAATTCTATTAAGTATTAAGTGCATTTTTTGACCCTTTCGGGGGTCTATCTGCAACAATAGAAGTTTCACTCAGGGGGCATATCTGCAGCAATGGAATTATAGGGGTAATCAGTTCAATTTGAATATAGTACAGGGGATCCACCCACAATTAACCCTATAAATTTTAGAGACCAACTGAAGATTTTTACCTGGATTGTGAAGCCCAAAGAAGAAGTAAACGATGAAGAAATTGCTGGCCCTGGCCTGTTCTGAAATGGAATTCCTAAAAAATGCTTTTTCGTAAGTCCATAACCATGCAAGGGTGCTTGGCTTCCAGCAACATAAGCAACATTATTTCCGTTGCAACTTAATCCAAGTCCAAGTCTCTCAGAGAGATCAAGTCCTCTCCTTTTAGATTGAAAAAATATCTCACTTGTCCCTAAAACTCCAGCTGAATGAACATAATCTTAGTTTATTAGTCTCATCTCACAAATTCACAATATTGACCAAATGAACAATATTAACTCGTTTCTTACCAGAAAGAACCACAAAATCTGCAGTTATATATTCTAGATCGTCAAAGTATACTCTCCACCTTCTACTTTGTTCAGCACCATTATCTTCTTCAAAATTTATATCTGGGTTTTTCAAGATGTAAAGTACCCTACGTTCAGTTTTCACCACACATCCATCCTATCAAAGAATCATATCATATAAGAAATGTCAAAGATCACTAAATAACTGAAATGGACAGCAACGAATAATGGTTCAATTTAATTGCACATAAACCCTCTGTAATATCATTGCTTGGCACTTACTACCCCTGTAGTTTCATTGTTGCAGATAGAACCCCTGGGTTATTTTTTCTCTCTTTTACCCTCGGTGAACTTTGATAGATATTGCTCCTGGATGAGATTACTGAGCCTATTGGAGGGTAAAATTAAAAGCGTCAAAAAATGTAACCCGGACGGTCTATCTGCAACAATGAAACTACATGAGAAGTAAGTGCAAACAGGGATACTGCAGAGGTCTATGTGCGATTAGTCCTTTAAATTAAAAAGATTCTTGTACCTGGATTGCTGAAGCCAAGTAATTCTTGTCTGTAGAATTTTTTGCATTATAAGGACATCCTGATAAACAATTTCCACATGCGAGACAACTCTCTGTCTGTTGAGATCCTTGGCCAAAATTGATGCTGAGTTTTATAGGATCAGGTCTGCAGTCTTCAATCTCTTCTTCTGCTATTTGCTTCATTACCCTAGCATTGGGAAACTCGACAGGAATACTTTGTGCTCCCAACATCGATGAAGCAAATTGTTCATATAGATCCCAATCCTTGTTCCATTCCTTTGGCCATCTGGGATCCTTTTTAACTCGTGCTGGAGTTGGTACTATGACCCCTGCGTTCACTAGAGAACCTCCACCGAGACCACAAGCCACAGCAGCCACCGAATCGCCTTGATCATGAACCTACAATCCACATTCCAAGTAGGCTATTATCTTTATCATATACAATTTAGACAATGTTCCTTTTAATTATTATTTCTTTCTGAGAATCCTATCACATATTTTGAAAGCTATCTAAAAGAGTTTTGATATCAAGATACCAAGTTCTATTTGTACATAGATGTAGAAAAAGGGATCGAATTATGTAAATAAATTAGGAAGATTACTTTCTTTATTTGGAAAAGATTAGATTAAATTTAGTTGTAGTTTTTTCCTAATTTATTATTTGTAATCTAGTTAGTTTCCTGTTTTATTGGAAATTTGGAATTCCTAATTTAAAGTTCAGTTTCCTATTTTGGTGGACTGGTATGTCAGCTGCTCGTTCTACTATATTAGGATGTAATTCTCTTGTTTAAAATGATGAAGAAAATTCACGATTTCTTCATGGTATCTGAGCAAGGTTTCTGAGCCCTAATTCTTTTTTATTCCTCTTCGTCTGGCCTTTCATTCATCTGGCCGATTCTCTCCCATGACCAAATACGGCATGACTTCACAATCTAATTCCTCGGAAGTTACTTTCAGATCCGAGCCCAGTCCTCCTGTTCCCACAATTCCCGATTCTTCTCCACACCTTGTCACGAATCACTAACTCCATGGCCGAAATTTTCTGCAATGGTCCCAATCTGTGTTCATGTTTGTCTGCGGCAGAGGGAAGGATGGACATCTCACTGGTGAAACAGCTGCTCCAGAGGCTACATATCCCAAATACCAATCCTAGAAAACTGATGATCACCTAGTCATATCGTGGCTAATAAATTCTATGACCACTAAAGTTGGAGAAAACTTTCTGCTTTATAGGACAACCAAGGAGATATGGGAGGCAACATGTGAAACGTATTCTAGCACAGAGAATACTTCTGATTTGTTTGAGGTTGAAACACGGTTGTACAACCTGAAACAGGGGGACATGAGTGTTACTCAATATTTTAACACTCTTACCCGTTGTTGGTTACAATTGGACTTATATGAGATCCATCCTTGGAAATGTGCTAATGATTCTGCACTGTATAGGCAGATTGTTGAGCAAAAGCGGACGATCAGATTTCTTCTTGGCCTTAACAAATACCTAGATGAAGTCACAGGGAGAGTTATGGAGATTACACCCTTTCCCACTATTCGGGAGGCATTTGTCGAGGTCCGAAGGGAGGAGAGCAGAAAGAAATTGATGCTGCCAGATGCTAATATCACCCATGCAGTTGAAGGTTCAGTCCTATACACTCATAGTTCATTACAGAACAATAGAGCTGACAAAGGACGTCCATGGTGTGATCAAGCTTGGACATGTAAAGGCAACTTGCTGGAAGTTGCATGACAAACCTGTAGATTGGAAGCCGTTTAGTGGTCGACATGATAGGGAAACCTGTGCAAACGTTGCTGCTACAACTGACACCAGTGCAGAAGGTAGTCCATTCACTAGAGAGCAAATTGAGGCACTGCAAAAAATGTTCAGTCAAGCTTCTGTCTCTAACCAAGCATCTCCATTCACTGCCGAGCAACACACCAGTTTACTAGCTCACTAAGGTATTCAGTCCCTCGCTTTTAGTGTTCAAAACAATCAATCAAAACCATGGATAGTTGACTCAGGTGCCTCGGGCCATATGACTGAAGACCTTAGTATTCTCACGGACTTTCAGCCTTGCACCAACCATTCAGGAGTCAGAATTGTAGATGGATCACTTTTCCCAGTTGCAGGAACCAGATCAGTTCATTTAACAGAGGATTTTTATCTTTCATTTGTTCTTTATGTTCCAAAATTGAACTACAATTTACTTTCCATCAGTCAACTCACTTAGGATCTCAATTGTGTTACTAAATTCCATTCCAATTTTTGTGATTTTCAGGCAGTGGAATCGGGGAAGGTGATTGGCAGTGTTGATATGCATGGTGGTCTATATCTGCTCAAACAAAAGAATCTCCCAAGTAGGAAGTTCATCAATCAAGTTGTGTTTCAGAGTCCAGTCCAAAGTCTAAGTTTGTTTCCAATTCTGAGTCTGTTTCCAATTCCAATTCTGTGTCTGTTTTAGTTGATAGTCTGGTCATGTTATGGCATTATCGCCTTGGTCATCCAAACTTTTCTTATGTTGAAACATTGTTCCCTCATTTGTTCATCAATAAAAATTCTAATTTTCATCAATGTAAAATTTGTCAACTAGCAAAGCACACTAGGCATGTATATTCAAGTTTATAATACAAACCCTCACATCCTTTTTCTGTGATCCATAGTGACATTTGGGGACCCTCACGTGTGAAATATATCAATGGGGCTAGGTGGTTTGTAACATTCATAGATGATCGTACAAGAACCACTTGGACCTTCCTTATGAAAGAAAAATCCGAAACAACCACCATTTTCCAATCATTTCATACCATGATCTCTACTCAATTCAAAAGTCAAATTCAGGTCCTAAAAACCAATAATGCTAAAGCTTACTTCAATTCCATCCTTGGCTCTTACTTGTCAAAAGATGGTATAATTCACATAAGTTCTTGTGTTGACATTGCACAACAAAATGGAGTGGCTGAAAGAAAAAACAGACACTTGCTTGAGGTAGCCCGTGCCACTATGTTTACCAATAACGTCCTTAAACATTTTTGGGGGAAAGCCATACTCACAACCACATATCTCATAAATAGGATGTCTAATCGTGTCCTAAAATTTCAAACTCCTCGTCATGTCCTCACCACCACACATCCACATATCCTAGCTTTCACTTCCGACCTACCTCTCAAAGTCTTGGGTTGTTCTTCCTTTGTTCATATCCACCACGGTCATCACACCAAACTTGATCCCAAATCTCTCAAGTGTATTTTCCTTGGCTACTCCTCACATCAAAAGGGTTATAAGTGTTATTCTCCCATTACCAGAAAAATATATAATTCCATGGATGTAACCTTCTTCAAGAATCAACCTTACTTTTCCAAACCCGACATTTAGGAGGAGAGTTCAAGTGAATATCAGATTTGGGATCTCCTCCAAGACACTGAAGCCAGTTTCACTCCACAAAATCAGCCTTCAAATCCGAATTCAGCTCTTGTTCCTGCCATTGTTCCTATCCAAACAATCACGGTTCTGACACCCGAAACAGAACCAACAATCACTCTAGAAGCAGACCAAACAACCTTACATTCACCACAATGTGACACTCACAACACTGAACTTCGTGTCTATAGAAGGAGAAGACCAACCGAGCACACAGAAGGAACTATGCAAACTCAGCACTCTCAATCATAAGAACCAAATCCCACTGCATCCGATAATCATAATGGTATGTCGTAATGGTATGGATTCATCTCCTCATCACACTCTTGCTCCTATGATTGATGACTCAGATCTGCCTATTGCTCATAGGAAAGGGGTTCGTGGGTGCACTAAACACCCCATTGAGAGATATGTAGCATATGAAAAATTATTACCGTCTTACAAGGCATTTGTCACTAATCTGGACAGTGTGAAGATACCTAAATCAACTCAAGAAGCCCTCATGAGCCCAGCATGGAAGAAGGCAGTAGAGGAAGAAATTCGGGCTTTGGAAAAGAATAACACATGGATCCTTACAGAGCTATCATTACAGAGCTATCATCGGGCAAGAATCCAGTTGGATGCAAGTGTATATTCACGGTTAAGTATAAAGCTGATGGAAGCATAGACATATTCAAGGCAAGACTTGTGGCAAATGAGTTCACTCAATCTTATGGGTTGACTACCAGGAGACTTTTGCACCTCTAGCTAAACTGAACACAATTCAAGTTCTACTTTCCCTTGCAGTAAATCAAGATTGACTATTATATCAACTTGATGTTAAAAATGCGTTTCTGAATGAGTATCTTGAAGAGGAAGTCTACATGACCATACCTCCTGGACTAGAAAGCATGTCAAACCACATATTAGTTTGTAGATTGAAGAAGTCTTTGTATGGCTTGAAGCAGTCTTCTTGTGCATGGTTTGACAGGTTTGCTAAGACTGTGACAGCTAATGGATATCAGCAGTGTCAGGCAGATCATACACTCTTTGTTAAAGGTGTAGCTGGAGGGAAGATGGCCATCCTCATAGTCTATGTAGATGATATCATCTTAACAATAGATGATTCAGAGAAGATTCTCAACCTGAAAAGGTTACTAGCAACAGAATTTGAGATCAATGATCTCGGGACACTAAGGTATTTTCTAGGAATGGAGGTGGCCCGGTCAAAGGAGGGGATTGTTATATCCCAAAGAAAGTACATCTTGGATTTGCTAAGTGAAACAGGTTTACTTGGATGCAAGCCTGCCGACACACCTATGGATTCAATCCAAAGACTAAGCAGAAGTGAAGAAAGCAGTCCTGTTGACAAGAGCAGGTATCAAATGTTGGTTGGAAAACTCATTTACCTATATCACACTAGACCTGATATTGCTTATTTAGTCTGTATAGTTAGTCAACACATGAACAGTCCAACTGATGATCATTTAGAGGCAGTAAACAGGATTTTAAGATATTTGAAGATGACTCCTGGACACGGTTTACTCTTCAGAAAATGTGAAAACCGTGAAATGGAAATCTATACTGATGCTAGTTGGGCAGGAGAACAAACTGATAGAAGATCAACTACTGGCTTGGAGAAGCAAAAAGCAGGCTGTGGTATCACGGAGTAGTGCAAAGTCAGAATACCGAGCACTTGCTCTTGGAATATGTGAGGGAATGTGGCTACAGAGATTACTAAGAGAACTCATGGTTGAAGTACAAGCCTCAATCAAGATGTACAGTGACAGTCAAGCAACTATTAGCATAGCCAAAAACCTTGTTCACCATGATAAAACGAAGCACATTAAGATTGATCGACACTTCATCTTAAAGAAGGTCAACAATGGGATTGTTCAACTTAGCTATATTCCAACAAAACAACATATTGCTGATGTTCTCACTAAGGCGCTTCCAAGAGTTAGTTTTGATGAATTGAACTCCAAGCTTGGTTTGTATAACATATACAACCCAACTTGAGGGGGAGTGTAGAAAAAGAGATCGAATAATGTAAATAAATTAGAAAGATTACTTTCTTTATTTGGAAAAGACTAGATTAGATTTAGTTGTAGTTTTTTCCTAATTTATTATTTGTAATCTAGTTAGTTTCCTGTTTTATTGGACCTAATTTAAAGGAATTCAATTTCCTATTTTGGTGGACCGGTGTGACAGCCACTCGTTCTACTCTATTAGGATGTAATTCTCTTGTTTAAAATGATGAAGAAAATTCACGATTTTTTTTAATAGATGGTTGCGAATTCAGAGAATGGTCATCTACGCTTATCTGTTCTCCAAATTTTTAGTAATTTTCTTTATAACATCTAGGACTTGTGGAGCTCTATTGTGTTTTCTTTCAAAAACTATGTTGGTTGTTTCTGTTTTTTGTTTATGCTATCTGTTTCCACCATAAGGCTTTGATTTAACTAAAATTTCAGAAACAAAAGGCTAAGGGTTAGTATGGTATTGTTGGAGTTCATAATAAGTTACTTATATAAGCAACTTATAGAAGCTGTTGGAAATAACTGTTTGGTATTTATATACCAAAAGTTACTTCCAAAAGCAGTTAAAGTGTTCGATAAAACTGTGTTTAAAGATCATTATAAGTGAAAATGATAAAAAGACACATAACTTTAGTTTTATGTTTATCAGTAGTGAAAAAATTGTCAAAACTTAAAGGATATATATGATATATAAACTTAGAAAAACAGAAACTACTTTTTAAAAGCATCAATTGGTTACTTCTAAAAGCACCCCATTAGAAGCAAAAACTGTTTCAGTAAGTATGCAGCCATGTACAATTTTTTTTTATTACCAAACACCACTAATGGCTGCTTGAAAAAAATAAGCAAATGCACCCTTAAAACAAGCAATACCCAACTAGCCCTGAATCCACAAGAAACTTTTGGAGGTTACAGAAAAGAAACAAGAAACCGAAAGGAGCATTTTTTGAAATTTTGAAAAGCTTCAACAGTGAAATAACCCCATGAGCTCTCAAGAAGCAACTTTGACGTGTTCAATTCTGGTCTAAACCTAGCAAGAATTTAGTGAGTTTTGATAGGCTTTAACCAATTCAGGTCACATCACTTAATGAGAAACTAACAGGTTGATTGGTGAGATTACTGTGTTCAATGTTTTGACAAATACTATTTCTATAATGTAGAGAGCTTAAAAGACAACGGTTCTCATGTATCAAATGCGTATTTCACCATTTAGGTTTTGGCTACTGTTTGCACAAAACACTGCTTCTTATGAAAAATACCTTTTTCCCCCTGCCAAATATAGATAACTGTCAATCCCTTTGATTGAGTTTTTAGTATTTGTCTTATAGTGACTCCATAGATCTTCCATATTTTTGTGCATGTAAACTTACTATTCCTGACAAAACCTATTGACATTTTTGCATTTACAGACTCTTTGGTCAACTTGGGCCGTGCACGAAATCAAATAATGGGAATCAGTAGGGGTGTGCAACGGTCGGTTCGATTCGGTTTTTACCAAAATTTGAACAACCGAACCGAACCGTCTATAATTCAAAACCGAACCGAACTGATGCAAGTCGGTTCGGTGCAGTTTGGTTCGGTTTGTTCGGTTCTAACTTCATCAAACTTCTTATCAAACAACAAACTGTGTTAAAGAAAAAAAAGATATCAACAAAGTAGTGTAGGGTTTGAGATCAGAATGGGTAGTATTGCATTATATTCGGTCGGTTTGGGTCGGTTCAGATTTATAAGTTTTCAAACCAATCCAAACCGCCCTACTCATAAAACCGATTTTTTCGGGTCGGTTCGAGTCGGTTCGGTCGGTTTTTACGGTTTTGACCGAACCATGCTCAGCCCTAGGAATCAGGAGGACAAGGAGGACCGAGAACAGACAAAGTAAAACAGAACCTACAGTAAGTAGACTATCAAGGGTAAATCATTTGTAAATTAAACTCAGAGCTGTTATTTGTAAGGTTATTTTCACTTAAACCCCTGAACTTTGGGAGTTTACACATATCCCCTCTGAACTTTCTATATTCTACTTAATCCCCCTGTACTGTTTCACTTAACCACCTAAATTGCCACAGTGAACTTTGACCACGCGTGTGCCTAGCATGTGACTGAGAAGGATGAAAGTGCCCCTCAGTTGCTTGTGGAGAAATATTGTGTCTGGGACTGAATTTTGGGGGTTATTTTTCAAAGAGAGCATTTTGATCATTTCACCATTAACACGTAACGACATCAGAGGGGTTTGGTGGAAAAACTTCAAGATTCAGGGGGGGTTAAGTGAGAAACCATACAGTTTAGGGGGTTAAATGGAAGGAACAAAGTGAACTTAGAGGGGTTAAAGTGATAGAAGCCCTTATTTTTTCTAGCTATATGTTCAAACCTGAAACAATGCTTTCTTCGATCCCAAACCGAACCCCAACCTCCTAGACTCCACCCTCACTGTCGAAATTAGACCAAAAACATGCTCCGGGAAGTCATTAGCCTCCCATCGCCGTCCCTTCTCGATCAAACAAACCCTTATCCCTGCCATCGCCATCCTGAAAGCCGCCACCGATCCTCCGTAACCGGACCCCACCACCACGGCATCATAGCTCTCCTCAGCCATCGTATCTTCCTCTATTAATTCTGGTTTTATTTTCTTGAGTTGTTGAGATAAGAGGAGCTTGATGTATGTACGTGACCAACTCACTGTTGTTTGGTGAATGTAGAAAAACTACAAGGGTTATTTATTATAAGGGGATTTATAATCAAGGTCAAAGGAGATGCAGAGAATCTTTCATCGTGAGATGCAGTGGTAGAGGAGTTAATAGATTTTGAGACTAGTAGCTTTCGTTGGACTTGGTTTGTGTTTGAAAATTAATGTGGTTTGAATGAAAATGGTTTTGGAAAGCGAAAGGATTTCTTTAGATTGATCCAGAAGAATTTCTTTAGTTTGACAAGGGGAAAAGAGACCAACTCATTAGTGGACTTTCTTGTTTGTGTTGGAAAAATTGGGCAGCCACCACATGTACAATAACCACCTAACCGCTACAGTATCTCTCACCGCAAAAACAAATTTTTTACTGTAGCAACAGTGCCCCCCAGCTACCACAGACTCGTCTATATATAGCTCTCTATTGCATTCAGTTTTAATCATCCCAGAAACAACTCATCTTATAGAAGAGTGAGAGAAAGAAAAAAATAGAGAGTTTTTCCTAATATCAAGGAGTGGGTTTGTGAGAATTCTTGGAATGTATCTTGATCAAGAGAGAGTGTTCTCTTTGATCTAATTCTTTTAGAATATAAAAGAACTGAGCGTTGTCGTTGCACCGTGGAGTAGCTCTGAAAGAGTGAAACACGTTATATCTGTGAGTACTGTGATTGAATTTGTGTCTTTATTTTGTGATTTCAAAATCGTTTGGGTGTGCATTGCGTCTCCGTTCGAGACGTTTTTGTTGACGTATACTCTAACAACTGATATCAGAGCCTGATCTAGAGTACATATCTACTTATCGTATACTTTGTGGCTGTCACTAAAAGTGGATCCTCCACATCAAAAAATAAGTTAGATTATCATTTACTCTTTAAAGGCACCGGGTACTATTCACGAGTACGGTACTATTTATAAGTACTGTTACTATTCACAAATACGATTTGAGAAAAGACGAAATCTTTCGCCATGGGATCTACAGTTGAAGACAATAGGTTTCGGATTGAGAAATTCGGAGGCTAAAATTTTATGTATTAGAGGATGCAGATAGAAGACTGTTTGTACTAGAAGGATCTCTTCCTACCCTTTTAAAGAGTGGAGGGGAAACCTAAGAAGATGGACGACGATAAGTGGAATGTGCTCGATCGTAAAGTACTTGCCACCATTAGACTCAATCTTTACCAGCATGTGACTTACAACGTCTAGCATGCGACCACCGCCAAGGAGTTGATGGAGGCATTGGAGGCACTGTATGAGAAGTCGTCTGCTTCAAATAAGGTGTACCTGATGAAGAAGCTATTCAATCTAAAGATGCAGCAAGGAGCTCGCGTAACGGACTTCTTGAATAAATTTCAGCCTGTGGTGCAACAACTTACTGCAGTGGATCTCAAGTTCAACAATGAGATGAAAGCTCTTCTACTTTCTTGTCTACCAGATTCGTGAGAGAATTTAGTGATAGCAGTGAGCAATGCTAATGACAATGACAAGATGGAGCTCGATACAGTGATTGTGGCAATTCTGGATGAAAAATCTCGCCACAAAGTCTCAGGAGCTGAGGCCTCTAGCAGTGGGAGTGCTTTGCATGTCGAGACACAAGGGCGTGCGCAGAAGAAGGGTAGGGGACGACGAGGCCGATCAAAGTCCAGATGGAAGTCTAAAGGGCCGAACCCAAATGGTTACGGTGAAAGGAAGTGCTTCAGATGTGGAAAGAAGTATCACTTTGCAAGGGACAACAGAGCTTCTGTTCTAGCATTAGCAGGGGATAATCAGGTTGACGGTGCAGCCAATCTCATGCACGAAACAAATTCGGATGCACTTCTCCTATCTCTTGAAGACAAGAGCGATGCGTGGGTCATTGACTCTGACGCATCTTTCCATGCAACCTCACAACAAAAGCTGTTTTCATCGTTCGTGAAGAAGGACTTGGGGACAGTCTATCTTGGTGACGATCAACCTTGTAATGTTTTCGGGAAGAGAAATTGTACCCTCAAGATGGAGGGCGGGACCACCTTGACGCTGAACGACGTTCGGCATGTACCAGATCTCAGACGAAATCTTATATTAGTCGGACAACTAACTGACTTTGGTTACAGAGTATCCTTCAAACAGGAAAGCTGGAAGGTGTCCAAGGGTGCCCTGGTTGTAGCACACGACAAACGCGAGGGGTCTCTCTACATCGCCAATGAGAAGATCGACCGCTTGCTTATCGCAGGACAAGCATCATCATCATCCGCTGACTGTATGACTTGGCATCGGCGACTTAGCCACATGAGCGAGAAGGGGATGCAGATTATGGCCACGGGAAAGAGACTTCCGGGTCTGAGCAAGATCAATCTGACTTTCTGTGAGGACTGCACCTAGGCAAACAAAAGAATGTGAGCTTTAACAAGATCGGATCGGCTCCAAAACTGTAAAAATTAGAGTTGGTGCATACTGACGTGTGGGGACCTGCGCAAGTCCCATTTATTGGCAACTCTCTTTATTTTATCACTTTTATTGATGATGCTACTAGAAAACTATTGATGTTCTTCTTGAAGCACAAGTCAGATGTTTTATCATCTTCAAGAAGTGGCTTGCCTGTGTAGAGAACGAAACAAGCAATAAGCTGAAGTGTCTGAAGTCTGATAATGGAGACGAGTATTATAGCTAGGAGTTTGAGAACTTCTGCTCGTCCCATGAGATTAGGCGACTGAAGACTGTTCTAGGCACACCTCAGCACAACGGAGTGGCGGAGTGTATGAATCACATTATCTTGGAGCGCGCCAGAAGTATGAGGATCTACTCCGGATTGCCCAAGAGTTTTTGGGCCGATGCTGTGAATACTACTGCATATTTGATCAACCACGGGCTATCCGCGGCTCTCAGTTATGGGATACTTAAAGAGGCTTGGACCGGAAAAAAGCTGAAGCTAGAGCACGTACGAGTACTTGGTTGTGACGCCTACGTCATGACCAATCCTACAGATCGGTCAAAGCTTGATCCAAAGTCAAAGAAGCTCTCTTTCATCGGCTATGCATATTTGATCAACCACGGGCTATCCGCGGCTCTCAGTTATGGGATACTTAAAGAGGCTTGGACCGGAAAAAAGCTGAAGCTAGAGCACGTACGAGTACTTGGTTGTGACGCCTACGTCATGACCAATCCTACAGATCGGTCAAAGCTTGATCCAAAGTCAAAGAAGCTCTCTTTCATCGGCTATGGAGGAGATGAGTATGTGTACCGTTTTTGGATCACGATGAGCGCAATGTGGTGTGCAGTCGTGACGTCGTGTTCCATGAGGATGCGGTGTACAAGACCAAAGAGGTGAGTGAGAGTCAACTATCTCCCCCACTTTTTTCAGATATTGCTAACAGTAAGGACGACTGTGGGATACCAGTCAGCATAGAAGACAGAGACCAAGAGAACATGTCGGATGCACAACAACATGATCTAACAGAGCTGCCAATCGCAGTTCACAAAGCTCAAAGAAATCCGAGGGTGCCATAAAGGTACATTTTCATTATGAATTATCTTCTCCTGACTAACAATTGTGAGTCAGAGAGCTATGAGGAGGTACAGCAGACCGGCAAAGCTCGGGGTGAGTGGGAGTCTGTCATGGAGGAAAAAATAAAATCCTTGACGAAGAATGAGACTTGGGAGCTCGTAAAGCTTCTAAGAGGGCGAAAAGCGCTTCAAAATTGGTGGATTTATCAGGTCAAGGATGAAGCCGATAGACGGAGACGCTATAAGACGAGTCTTGTAGTGAAGGGCTATGAGCAGAAAGCAGAGATAGACTATTCTCATATTTTTGCTCCCGTCATCAAGTTGACCACGATCCAAATTGTGTTGAGCATTGTGGTAGTTCGAGATCTTCATCTAGAGCAGATGGATGTGAAGACGACATTCCTTCGTGGAGATTTAGAGGAAGAGATTTATATGCATCAACCAGTGGGCTTCGATGAACGAGACATGAAGGGCCTCGTGTGTCGCCTGCGTAAGAGCTTGTATGACTTGAAGCAAACTCCGCGATAGTGGTACATGAAGTTTGAGAACTTTATGGAGGAGAACAGTTTTCTCAAATGCTACACAGACCACTAATGTTTCATCAAGAGGTATGACAAATCCTATGTGATACTCTTGATTTATGTTGATGACATGTTGATTGTTGGGCCCGACTTGGCCCGCAGTGAGGAACTCAAGGGGCGTCTCTCCGAGTGCTTCGAGATGAATGATCTGGGTCCAGCAAACCAGATTCTTGAGATAAGGATCATCAGAGACAGATCAACACAGAGGCTGATGTTGTCTTAAAAGGCCTATATTGAGAAGATTCTTAAAAAGTTTGGCATGAAAAAAACTAAACCGATGGGCTCGTCGTTTGCAAGACATTTCAAGCTATCAAAAACCCAAGCACCAGAGACTGCTGAAGAACATGAGTTCATGATCAACATACCATACACATCTGCTGTCGGGAGTTTGATGTATGCGATGGTGTACACGAGGTCAGATATTGCACAAGGAGTGAGAGTTATGAGCCGCTTTATGAGCAATCCAGGGAAGCACCACTAGGGTGCGGTCAAGTAGCTTCTACGCTACTTGAGATGTTCGTCCGACCGTTGTCTTGAGTATAGAGGGACAAATATACAACTAGAGGGATTTTGTGATGCAGACTACGCCAGGGATATAGATTCAAGAAGGAGCACGAGCGACTATATTTTCATCTTGGGTGGTGGAGCGATAAGTTGGAGATCCAAGATATAAAAAATTATGGCTATGTCGACAACCGAAGCCGAGCACATATCTGCAGCAGCCAGCAGAGGCAACAAAGGAGTTGCTATGGTTAAAAGCTTTTCTTCTCAAGCTTGGGGTAAGCTTTGAGAAATACTTCATCCATTGCGACAGTCAGAGTACCATTTACTTGTCAGTGAACGACGCATTCTAGGCTTGGACCAAGCATGTTGACGTGAAGTATCGTGCCATACGGAGATGGCAAAGCATGAACAAGTTCAAGCTTGTGAAGATTGATACGAGATACAATCTAGCCGATATGTTGACCAAGCCAGTTTCGCTCGAGAAGGTGAGGCTGTGTGCAGCCTCATATGACCTCCGTTGAGAATGTTGAAGGTTGTGCAAGACGTCAAAGATACAAGACATTCGGATGATGCAACTAAGAATGGTGTGAAGATATGGTTGATACTCAATCAAATTTTCAAGTGGGAGATTATTGAAAAATTGGGCAGCCATCATATCTACAGTTACCCCCTACCCGCTATAGTAATCACCTACCTTAGACAAACAGGATTTTTACTGTAGCGCAAATGTAGCAAGCACTGTAGCAACAGTGCCCACCTACCACGAACTCGCCTATATATTGCTCTCCCTTGCGTTCAGTTTTAATCATCTCAGAAACAACTCCTCTTATAGAAGAGTGAGAGAAAGGAAAAATAAAGAGTTTTTCTTAATATCAAAGAGAGAGTTTGTGAGAATTCTTGGAATGTATCTTGTTCAAGAGAGGGTGTTCTCTTTGATCTAATTCTTTTGAAATATAAAAGAACTGGGTGTCGTCGTTGCACCGTGGAGTAGCTTCGGAAGAGTGAACCACGTTATATCTGTGAGTACTGTGATTAAATTTGTGTCTTTATTCTGTGATTCCAAAATCGTTTGGGTGTGTATTGCGTCTCCGTTCGAGGTGTTCTTGTTGACGTATACCCTAACAGTTTGTACATTTCTACTGCGTTTCTGAACATCTATTTTTTTTGGGGTGCCATTTTATGAGGCTGTTGAGAAGCTGAAACATTCTGCTGAAACTGGTACCATGTGAAAGTAAAAGAAAAAGAGAAGCTGAATCCTTTCATATAACTATTTGTCTTTATTATCTTTACTATGTAGAAGGTCCTTGATTTATTTTAAATTACCGCTTTCTTCATTTTTAAGTTTTCAACCAAGGCTTTATCAAACCCAATGCACCAATTGGCTAATACTTGTATCCTAGTATATATTAGTTAATGATGCATACATATATTTTTTTTCAAGGACTTGTGCAGTTGTTTTGTGAGGATCTCTGTTACCAGTCATTTTCGTAGTCGATATATTCCGCAAAAAAAAAAGCAAAGCAAAGCAAATCAGAGTAGTTAATGATGAATGAATAGAAGTGTTTCTTATTTTCTTAAGCACTTTATTTTGTTTAATTTAAAATTAGTTCAAATATTCTTACCCCTAGATAGCCCACGTTGCTGCAGAAGAAATACCTACAGGTAAAACAAAAAAGACCCAAACTCATGACACGGGATAGCTCTGCTAAAATTCATCTTTATGCTTAATTGTAGTTCAATGTTCAATAATATACGTAATACAAGATTAAGTGTAATACTATTAAGAAACAATAAATTAACGAAAATGCCCCATTTCCCAGTTTTCCATCATCATAATGATAACCGCTCGTGACACTGAGAATATTTCTACAAACCATTTCCAGTAGAATCACACATTAAAAGATGAATATGACAACAACTATACTAAGTAATAAAAACAATAAATCAATGAAAAAACTCCAATCTCCCAATAATCCAGAACCATCATGAGAACCATCCCATGATAACACGCCCTCCTTCCTACAGGTCGTCGCGTCTTTTTTCACTCCTTCCTCAGCCAATTTCATGTGAGATAAGAAGTGAGGAAAGACTTTTTCATAAGACTGCTCTCCAATGAGAAGATCAGAATGTCCAAAATCCCCCACTACAATCCTCTTGTGATGAAACTCAGGTTGATGCAGTCTCATGAACTTGTTAGCAAGTAGAGTTGTCTCTGGAGTCACTAGAAGGCTTCTACCCCCCGAAATGTACAACGTGGGGAGAGGCATTCTTTCTGGATGTATCAAGTACTTGTTCTTACCTTTAGAGTTCACAATAAAACCTGAGGTGCAAATGCTTCGTAGATGGCGGAAGCTTTGGCAGGCTCTGCTTGTTCAGCCACTGATGCATAGTGTTGCTAACATTCTCATGCCAGAATGTATTTCCGAAGATGCCTGAAAATATCTCACACACATTGCATGTGCACCGCTCGTTCCTTGGGATCAATTTGGCGATGAACTTTACAAGTTTGTGCCGTAGGCTGTCCTTTGAGGCGTATAATGACAACGTTCGCTTCTTTCCAAGAAGTGTCATAGTTATCTGTGTGTGTTAGGGGATGTTGTGTTAGAAACTGATATTGTTTGTTTCCTTAGTTTTCAACCTCTTATTTTAAGTTGTCTTCGGTAGTTACAGAAGTTGGTATCCAAAGATATTGTCGCTCTTCCTTATTTAGCTGAATTGTTGGTGTAATTATAAGGTAGAACTTTGCTTACTAAAAAGACAGGAAACTAGTAACCCTACTTAGTGAAATCTTATCTTGAGCAGCATTAACGTTTGATCCAATGAAGAGATAAAAAGGCTGGAATCATGAAATGTTGAAGGTGTTTCCTAGCAGAGATAGATGAATGTAAAGATTTAAGGTTACCGGGATGAGAGGAAGCCACATCTTGACTAAGGCAGAGGTGGTTAGCTTGAAATACATGGAGGAGTTGGTACAAGAGAGAGATGCTATGTGGTTTGCAGAAATGTGGCCTCCCAATAGAGCAATGTGGATTGCTAGGCCCCCGACACAATGTGCAATGACATGGATCTTAGTGTTTGGTCCATTCATCTCAAGAATTCGCATAATCACTGAACAAATAATGAGGGAATAAGGTCAAAAATCCTCTTCCAATGTAACTTCGGTATAAGTTCAAACGAAAGGTTCTGACCTGAGGGAATGTCGAACCTTCCAATATCTTCAATTGTGAAATTGTTTGAAGGGTGTGAAGGGTGAAGTCGCGATTGAAGCAGCCACGTCTCATGTCCTTCTTCTAATAACGTGCGAACCAAATCTCTTTCCTCAGTTGGTAGACAGTAACTCTCTGTTGAGTGTCCATTTAGTAAAAGAACTGGGTATCGAGTTTTTTCATTTTCAGAATTCATCGCATAGTGTTTCCATTGTTGGCAGCTGATTGTGCATCCATCTTCTGTTTATTCCATAAAACCAAATATTAGTTAAAGCAAACAATAGCCTTACGCTCTTTAGTAAGTACGCTTTGGCTAAGTACCCGTTTTTAGTTCATGAATTGTACTTCGCGGATAAGGAATTTCTGTGATATTTGGTAGCCCAACATCACATTTCATTTGCCGAGGTATCTGTAAGATGTAAGTTCTCCAAAGGCTTTGCAAAAGAGAGCATACAAATTCCCTTCTATGTCTCCCTTCCAGCTTCAAGAAACTCTTCAGGACTTCAAACAAAGATATGTGAAGTTCTCCTCTAAGAGTGAACAGCTCTCCAGTTGCCTCAGAATCATTTGCAGATAGCGTTCTGAAATTAGCATGCAAGGTTGTAGACTCGTGCAAAGCATACATTGCTAGTAAATAGGGATTCATTACCTTCTTCCCCTCGAAAATGTACCTGAATCATGTGAAAGCTCATCATGTTGACAAATTTAAAGCTTTTTAAATCAAGAAAAGTCGTATCAATTTTATTTTTGAGTTATATTTACCTTGACCCTGACGATGAAGCCAAAATTAGTCTATAGTGCATATACTGTGTATAGGGAGTTCTAATGTCTATTTTGCACATGTCAACCTTGCCATCTACAATATAGAGTTTATCCTTATTAACTGCTTGGAATACGACATATCCACCAACCCTCCCTCTCAGTAGTGATTGTGTCTCTTCATTGGAGTCATTCTGATCCAAGGAATTCATCTTTAGTACAAGATAAGCTGTGCATGGCATTCCACCAATAAAGCCTCTCATTGTTTCCTTCACCGTGACTTTTTCATGAGCTCCCATGGTGAGCTTCTCCTTAATGGAACATGAATCAGTAGATTCAATAGTTTTTTTGACGCATTTCAAATCTTGTATAATCTCATGTCGGGCTTTGTCGTTATCTCCCACAGTTTGAAGATGTTGGATTGTTCTTTTGAAGCTTAAAACATCTTGCACTAGATGCCTACTTACTTGCTCTGCCACTGTTGTAATTGTGAGACAAGGGTTTATGCCTATCGAACAAGGAATCAATGAAGCATCACATACATAGAGGCCTTTATGCACCATATCTTGGTCACCATTCGGATGGAAAACTTGTCCTTTTGGATTACAAACCCCATTTGATGGATCTGATGCTGCATTGCACCCGCCTAAGAGATGAACAGTTGTGCTTCGATATCTAGACATAAATAGAATCCCTCCTAATTTCTTAGTGAGATTCTGAAGTGCTTGGATTTTTTTTGGGAGAAGAGGATCATGAGGAGGAGTGACACATATCTTTTCTGTTTCTTCATCCAATGTAATTATTCCATTGCATGCATCATAACCCATTGCATTAAGAACCACTGCTTCGCTAGCTTTAAAACCCATCGCATGCTTCAATTTGTCGATCAATCCATGTAAGAAGCAGAAACCATTAGGCCATCCATAGGTCGTTATTCCTTTAAACAACAAATAGGGGTATGATCTTGGAACCACTCCACTCTGCATGTTAAATCATCAATATAGAGTTTAATAAGCACAAATCGATGCATAGAAATAGAATTTCGGTGACAATCTGAAGATTTCTACCTGGATTGTGAAGCCCGAGGAAGAAGTAAATGACGAAGAAATTGCTGGCCCTGGCCTGTGCTGAAATGGGATTCCTAAAAACTGCTTTTTAGTAAGTCCATAACCATTCAAAGGTGCTTGGCTTCCAGCAACATAAGCTACGTTGTTTCCGTTGCAACTTAATCCAAGTCCAACTCTCTCAGAGAGATTGAGTCCTCTCCTTTTAGACTGAAACAGTATCTCACTTGTCCCTAAAACTCCAGCTGAATGACAATAACCATATTTTATTAGTCTCATCTCATAATATTGAACAAATGAACAATACTAACTCCTCTCTTACCCGAAAGAACTACAAAATCTGCAGTTATATATTCTAGATCATCAAAGTATACTCTCCACCTTCGTCTTTGTTCAGAATTTGTATCTGAGTTTTCTGAGATGTAAAGTACTTTACGTTCAGTTTTCACCACACACCCATCCTATCAAAGAAACATATCACATAAGAAGTGTGAAAAGCCAGTAAATAACTGACATGGTTCAAATTAAGAAGAATCTTGTACCTGAACTGCTGAAGCTAAGTAATTCTTGTCTGTAGAATTCTTTGCATTATAGGGGCATCCTGACAAACAATTTCCACATGCAAGGCAACTACCTGTCTGTTGCGATCCTTGGCCAAAATTGATGCTAAGTTTTATAGGATCAGGTCTGCAGTCTTCAATCTCTTCTTCTGCTATTTGTTTCATTACCCGAGCATTGGGAAAATCAACAGGAATACTTTGTGCACCCAACATTGAGGAAGCGAATTGTTCATATAATCCCCAATCCTTGTTCCATTCCTTTGGCCATCGAGGATCCCTTTTCACTCTTGCTGGAGTTGGTACAATTACCCCTGCGTTTACGAGAGAACCTCCACCAAGACCGCAAGCCACAACGGCTAGCGAGTCGCCTTGGCGTTTACGAGAGAACCTCCACCAAGACCGCAAGCCACAACGGCTAGCGAGTCGCCTTGATCATGAACCTACAATCCATATGATCCCATTAGACTTTTCTTTTGAGCATATACAAGGAGATAATATTCCTTTACTTTTTTTTTTCTGCGAATTCTATTACATATTGTGAAGTCTATCCACAAGAATTTTCTTAGAATCCCAAATTTTAGCAGTCTTCAATATACATCTAGTAGGAGCTGTGGTGCTATCTCATGTTTTTTTCAAAACCTATGTTCACTGTTTCTGATCTTTGTTTATGTTATCTGTTTCTACCGTAAGGCTTTGACTTCACTAAAATTTCCAAATCAAAAGTGAGAAGTCTACAGGAAGCTGAAACAAGAAATTTTTAGAGGTTACAAAGAAGAAACAAGAAACTTTTGGAGGTTACAGAAAAGAAACAAGAAACTGAAAGGAACATTCCAGAATTTCTTCGAAAGTTTAAACAGTAAAATAGCCCCTTGAGCTCTCAAGAAGCAACTTTGACATGTTCAAATCTGACCTAAATCTAACATGAAGTTTGTGGATTTTGATAGGCTTTCGCCAATTCAGGTCACGGTCAGATTAATCAGAGTACTAACAGCTTAAATGATGATCCACATTACAGAAATTCTTCAAGATTCTTGTGTTTAATGTTTTGAAAATGCTATTTCTATTCGATAGGGAGCCTAAAAGACACTCACATGAATCAAATGCCTATATGGCCGTTTAGGTTTCAACTACTATATAGAAAGTGTGTTGCTCCAGATGAAAATTACTTCCTTTGAGTGACTTTTTAGTTTTCTCTTATAATGTCTCTACAGATTCTTCCTTATTTTCTCTAGGTAAGCTTCTTATTCCTGACGAAACCTATTGACATATTTAAATCTACAGATTCTTTGAACTTGGGTCATGCCCAGAATCAAATAACAGGAGCTCAGTAGGACAAGGAGAACCGAGACAGACAAAGTAAAATAGAACCTAGAGTAAGTAGCCTATTGCTAGAGTATAAGATTATAACCCTCAATCATTACTATAATTTCAGAGTTTTAATGTATTGACAGTGACCTTTGACATTGTATCAAGGGCACTAGGTTCAATTCCCACTGCCCATAAACTTAAAAGCTTATTAAAAAAATAAATCTATACCGCTTCATTGATTCCAGGTTTCAGCCCATATTATAATCCTCTATTCTTACCACAACTTCAAAGTTTTGATGTAGTGGCAATGACCTTTGACACCTATCAATGGTAAAACCATTTGCATAGCAATCTGAGAGCTGTTATTTTGAGCCATGTTCAAACCTGAAATAATGCTTTCTTTGATCCCAACCCGAAACCCCACCTCCTAAACTCCATCCTCACCATCGAAACAAGACCCACGACATGCTTCGGGAAGTCATTTGCCTCCCAACGCCGTCCCTTCTCAATCAAACACACCTTTATCCCCGCCATCGCCATCCTACAAGCTGCCACCGATCCTCCGTAACCAGACCCCACCACCACCGCATCATAGCTCTCTTCAACCATGGTATTTCTTCTGTTTTTTTGGTTTTGTTGAGAAAGAGGAGCTCAATTTATGTATGTGACTCGCTCACTCTTGTTTGATGCATGAATGCAGATAAACTCCAAGGCCTTATTTATAGTGAAGGACAAAGGAGTTGCACGGAATCTATCGTTGAGTTGTAAGAGGACAAAGCATACAGTTGAAAGTGTAATTCACAAGAAGATGCAGTTTTGTTTTGTTTTGTTTTTTGACTCGTTTGTGTATTAAAGCATCATACTTGGTTTAAACAAATTGTATTGGAAAGCCCAGTGCTGGTGAGAGAGTGAATGCTCCGCGAGGATTTCCTTTGATTGACGCAGGGGAAAAAAATTACTAACTAAGGCTCCTGAAGGATTTCTTAGTTTGTTAGGGGAGAAAAAGAGACCAAGTCATTTGGGGAGTTTATTGTTTAGTTAAAACTAACATATAGATTATTTTATATGCCTCGTCTTCTTTGTACATCTCTACTGCGTTTTATGAGGCTGTTGAGAAGTTGAAACATTTTCTTCTGAATATAAAAGAAAAAAAGAAGTTGAATCGTTGATGAAATTATTCGCCTTTATTTTGTTATTACCTTTTTTTTGGCAGAAGCTTTAACTTTGTCTCTTTATCTTCACTGATTTTAAATCATGGTTAATTTCACAAAACACCCCTGAACTTTGGGGGATATTGCACATAACTCCCCACCCCCCGAACAATGGGGTGTTTCACAAAACCCCCTTGAACTTTAGCTTATCTCACTTAACCCTTCTGCTTATAATTTACAAATAACTAAAATGTTATTCACATGCATCAATCACACCGATAGAAGTTTCCTTCATCTTCAAAGTTCAAATTTCAATCCCATAGTAGTAATCCTTGGTAAATTTTACCACAACGTATGCACTTCCTATTTACCTAAAAGAATTATCATGTGAGAAGTAATGCAGCTCTGCATGTTAATTCCAAAATCATTTGTATGTTACATCTCTTTCAACATTATGAAGCATTCAAATATGCTCCAAATACTCTTGATGATGTTGTGTAGCCGAAAGGGGAATCACTTAGTTACTTATTGTAGAATATATTGCCTATGTTATGTTGAATACAAATCCTAACCTGTCCGCAACATAGAAAAACTCCAAACATGTACAAATTCATGCATAGAACCTAGACAATTAATATCCCTGTTGTTTCGCCCTTGAGGAGTTGTCAATTTGGCCTTGGCCTTATACTCTTACGGACAAAACTTAATTTTCAATTGGTCATACACAAAATAAAAAAGACAAAAATGCAGAATATATACTAAATCTTGGCAATTTCTGAAGATTTTTGAAGTGCTTGAAGAAGACTTCTCATGATTCTTGGTTCGCCAGGCGCTGCCTTATCTTTCAAAGGACCATTCCTTATGGCTCTGAAGAGCGGCCCTGCGAGATTATTTGCAGGAAAAACGAGGCAGTCGATATACACCAATACCGATGTTTTTCCATCTTCTACTGATATGAAACCTAGCCTGGCTCCTCCTTGTACTTTGTCTACCTGTTATTACGAAATTTGGAATTTTCAGAGATATAATTTGAATTAATCAAATAAACATGAATTCATATGTTTTATCCAGATATCTATAGTTTAGATGACCATGTGCTAGAACTTCTGACTATTGTCATTAGCATTCAAGTTCATATTAATTAACGATATGAAGTCAGATAATAAGCAATTAAGCATGAAGCTAAGTAAGAAAGGCTTCACAGGGCTTGATGATTATTTTCGAGACTGAAGCTGATATAATTGAATGATACATACATCTACAGTTAATTACTTTTGGGTCCTAGCAATTGCACTAGAATCCAAATTTGGTAGGGGAAAAAAAATGTAATACAAAATATTGATATTTCCAATACTACACAGATAAGAAGATAGACCCTCGTCACTTTAAAATGATGTAACTGTTTCTTTTGTGATCAATGAGAAGGATCTAGATCCAGCTTGTCCATATTGCTATACAAAGATAGAGCTAATTTAACCTTTAAAATGATGGATAAGTTTCTTCTTGTTTGAGAGCAAGAAGGACCTTCTTATGCCTGCACAAAAAGTTAAGGGAAAAAAAAAAAATTGGAAGAGAAACAAGAGAGAAGCTGATACGAGCTAAGAATTTGACCCTTTTTTTTACATTTGATTGCTAATAACAATTTAAGCTTGTATTGCTAAAAAATTGGAAGAGAAACAATTACTCATATGACGTACATCATTTTATTTCGACACTCAAAGCTAGTGCACTTGACTGAGTAAAGAGAAGGCAATGAGAAATTAATTACTATGCAATAGCTTTACCTACTATCTAAATGGGACAGCTAAATGCCCTCTAAATTTCATTGTCACTGCGTACAAACGTCAAACATAAAACACTGAGTCCAAGTCAGAAATGCTTCATTAAGATATTGACTATTTAGGATAAATTAGTTCAACAATGGAAGCTGAAATGTATATATAGGATCAATGCGTTTCATTAGACCTGGAGACGAAAATATGTTATAATAGCAACAAGCAGTCTGGCTGATTAAAACCTTAAAACAATGAAAAAGAATTTAAAATTTGATGGTAACTTTGAACTCAATTCAAACACAATGGTCCCTTGGGTGATCAAGGAGAGAGCCAGAGAGGTTAAGGCCATGACAGAATTTAGCAAACAATTGTTCTATGGGAGAACAGCTCTCAATCATAGAAGCTCCCTTCTTTGTTTTTTTAACCCTATTGTTAAATAATTACATTGACCATGCATCTTAGCTAACTTACGTTTCAAAATTAGGGGGTAATTACAAAAAAAAAAAAAAGTCGTCATCCTCGTTGTTGTCCAGACATGACAACGGAAACTGTTATCATCATCAAACAGGTTATAAACAAAACCTCATATATTAGTCATGCGTAACTTTGAATTTTTTTTATAGTCTCATGTTCTTGCAATAGTTGGAAGTCAAAATACATCAATCAAACATGACAGCAATTTTTACAATTTTATAGAGTAGAAAAATCTTATTTCGGTGCAAGTTTGGAACTAAGAACTATAGAGGTAGAGACAAATTTGAAACAAAATGGGAAATTTGGAGGAAACCAGTAATAATTCAACACTCTTATACAAAATAAATTAGAGTGAACTCTCATTCCCTATTACTTGATAATATTTAAATGGGACAAATTTTCAAAACAGACTTCTTTGCCAAAAAAAATCCCAAAAACCAACATGTTTCAAAGTTAATTTCAAAAACCAACCCAGTTAGGTTGGAACTGAGTCGGTTTTAAAAAAAAAAGTTCCCAAACTTCACGGGAGTTGAAGTCCCGTGAAGTTTTGTTACGTAAAAAACTTCACGGGACTTCAACTCCCGTGAAGTTTGAGAACTTTTTTTCAAAAAACCGACCCAGTTTCAGCCAACTGGGTCTGTTTTTGAAATTAAGTTTGAAACGGGTCTTTTTTTGAGATTAAGATTCAAAACATGTTGGTTTTGAAATTTTGTCCTATTTAAATGCCCATTTCATGTGTGAAAAAAAACTGTAGGACTCATGGATTACGGAGTACACAAAAAGAAAATAGCGTAAAATAGTGCAATATAAAAAATGATACCAAGCAATTAAAATGCTTTCACAAAGGGACTACCATGATCTTAGTTCTCTCGCATGCATGAAACTAATAAAAAAAAAAGCGAAAATTGTTATAAACTGACCTTTAGAGGGACTGGAAGCGGCAAATTGGCTCCTTGACACAAACTATTAGCCCACTGTCACAAACAGTACCACCAAAGTTTACATCCAATCTTCAGTACTAAAATACCCAACACTATCAAAATGCAATTTTAAGCCTTACCTGAAAGAGTAACGTCTCGAACCTTGCAATATCAGTGTTAGCAGCCAACTTCATGGTCCCTAAAGATACACCATCCTCGTCATCAGCCGGCACGATGCCGCCGCTGTTTGATGAAGCTTTGGGCTTCACGGATGGTGCACACCTGTGCCTGGAGATTGTGTGAGGCTTGTTTGATGATGGCGTTCTGTTGGAGATCAAGAGAGAGGCAATGGAGGGGTGATGAGACGGAGAAGAGGGTGAGAAGTTGGGTGTGGGTGTGTGGGTGCGTTGTAGGCGGAGGAGTTGATTGGCGATCGCCATTGGTGTTTCTTGGACGGTAGAGGGGAGGTTGGGGTGTTGTTGAGCCCGTGTGTGATATGGATAGAGTTCTGAGATAAACCACACGTTAGCCAAAGGGCAAATGGGACCATCATAGTTAACCCGCAAAGCTTATAAATGTCTTAAACCATGAAATTTTATTTGGAAAGAAAAATATTTAGAGGCAGAGTTCAGTTGTTTTATCCCCATGTAACATTTGTTTCGAAAAAGGACAGAAAATTGTGAATATTAGATCTCTCTTATTGACACAATTCCAACCCTCATAAATCAGCCACGGTTGAGGAAATCAGGGAAATTGAGGGTTTTCTCTGAGTAAGTAGATGCACAAGCAAAGCTCTGCAGGAAAATCAGATGCAAAAGAACCATTATTTATGAAATTAAGGTCCTATTTACAATAAAAAAACATCTTGATCCCACCGAAGAGTTCACAACTGCATAAATATTACATTCCTTTTATGAAAGAGCTCATTAAATAAGAAAATCAGTGTATCACACCTCATAGATTCAGAACACTACAAGAAAAATTCCAGGAGTACACCTATATAGTATCAAAGGAGGGGTAAAAAGAAAAAGGAAAGAAACGATAATATGAAAGCAAAGATTCCTTTCCATCTGGCAACCCTAGCACGAATCAAGAAGTCAATCTGCCGGTTTAGCAACTATCAATTGTTATGGTTAGAAGTATATCGATTCAATGTACTCAATTGATACATTTCAGGTTTATTTGAAACTAGCAACAAGTTAGTTACATGTATAAACCAGTAAAAATTCCCTCTACAGTGCAATAACTCCGTGAAGCTTTCTCCAATTGTTGAATATTAACAAAAAAAAATGTGCAGAATCCGTGTAACAACAAGTCTTATGAGGAAGGTGAACAAGTTTCAAGCTTTGGTAGAAGACTTCGCCATGCATTGGCTACATCCTTAAGCCTCTCTTGTCCCTTTGAGAACTCGTGGAAGGCAAGTCCCATGTCAGCGGTCTTTTGTTCTTGGAACCGAACTATTTCTTCACTCATCAACTTCACAATAGTTTCATATTTTTGGGTGGCCTCCACACTTTCCGACTTCAACTGTGTTATCACATTCACATGATATCAGCCAAAAAAGATGGTGAGGACTTACAATAGATGTAATGAAGCCTACCAAATAAATCTAATAGTCTCACCTCTTTGTATTCAATCTCTGCTTCTGCAGCCTTTTCAGATTGTATTAACATCAGCTTGTCACTGCAAAACCAACATTACATATGAATAGTCACCAAAATACTTCATATCTAAGTTGCATGAGATGGGTACGGGCTAGGGTGCAGGTATGGAACACAACAAATTTGTAAAATGTTAGGGTACAGGGACAGTTGAAACACGAGTTCAAATCATAGTTCCGAAGTAGATATGCAAAAGGCCCCTTGAAATCTCAGTTCTGAACTGAATATGGGTCGAAATGAACCTGACCCTTGTCCATCAAGTGTCACCAAGTGGATATGAAGTATGTAACAAATGTTTTAAATTAAATCACTTTTTTATAATTGAGCACTCATCTGAATAAATGTATGCATACGTTCAAGGAGCGTCCAAGAAGTGTCTGGCACAAGTATGGGTATGTCTTCATGAAAGAAGTACCCAGCAACATAGGCTCATATCAATTAAGATACCTAAGGGTCATAACAGGAAAACCAGGAATTTCGGTTACAGGAACTGAAAAAAATACAGGTGTTGGATTGTTGTCACTGGTGGACTTCCAATTACTGCTGCATATTTGTAACTCATGATTCTCAATTGAATTGCAGTTTACTTTCTAAATATGAGAAGGAAAAAAAATCTTCATGCGGAAGTATTATTTCTTTCTTGTACTGCAGTTCAAAGAGCACAAATCAGCTCAAGGAGTTATTGGCAGTGTGTGTGTATTATACATATAGTATACGGAGAAAACGGAAGGTTGACATCTATAAGAGAGAACTTCCTCATATAGGAGATATAGAACTCCAGTTTCCCCAGCATTATTTCATTATCCAAAGGTGATTATGATCTTCTTAGTATAAAACATAGACATACTAGAAGTCTTGTGATATAGACTTTGTTTCTCGATTTTCTAGTGCTCTTACTTGTTCTATTGCTGACAAGCCATTAACTTTGCAACCATCTGAGATGTTAAAAACTACTGAATTTTCATCCACGTGTTAAAAAACAAGAAAATTAACTGAGTGATTCAGAGGATGCACTGGAGATGATTGAATAGCGAATCTGTAACAAACATAGAAGGGAAGTTTCCTCCTATAAACCTTGATCATCCCTGTCCTCTATGTGAGGGAGAAATCGGCTATACACAGGGATATTGGATATAGCTGGTTCATTTAACTTTTGAAAAGACTTGCAGTCAAATCGCTCTCTTTGAATTTTCATATTTGGACATCCACTTTTATAATATAGTCCATTATACATCAATAAAGCTGAATATATGGTCAAATGGTATTGGTCCTTCATCAATCAAGCTGAATAGATGGCCAAATGATACGTTGCTTAAATCTACATTTAATGGCATATAAAATCTGGATCCCAAAAATGTAATTTTTAGTACCCAAAAAAAGAAAAGATGTAATTTTGATATAAGACGCGCACACGCGCGCGCGTGTGCGCGTATGTATGTATGTACACACACATATAATATGGGTCTAATGGTTGTGAGGTGGCGACTCGTTTAGCAAAATGAACTATCAAGAGAGAGTAAGTGGTGAGGTGGCGACTCGTTTAGCAAAATGAACTATCAAGAGAGAGTAAGTGGTGAGTCCCACAATTTTTGATGTGACAACTAGGGTGGGCCTCATCACATGTGTATCTCTTGGTAGCTTATTTTGCAAATTGCGCTTGGCGGCTCATTTAGCAAAATGAGCTACCAAGGGATGAAATGATGAGGTCCACACCTTTTGATGTGACAACTAAGGTGAGCCTCATCACATGTGCATCTCTTGGTAGCTCATTTTATAAAATGAGTCACCACTTCATACCCATTTTCCACACATACGTACGCACACGCGTGCCCGCGCACACACACACATATATATAGATTGTTCATAAAAGGCAATCAGTATAAACAAACTTTTATAAGATATCAAACACTTGTGTGCTTGTGCGGGTGTGGGTGCGCATGTATGCGTGTGTCATGTACATATCCATGTCAAATAAATGAGATCACTTTTAAACATACAAATTAATCTCCTTCAACTTGGTTGCTTCAACTAAATCGTACTGCTGTTTGAAAGCATTGGCTCTGTCCGCCATCGTGGCCTGTTATGAACATGAGAAAGAAAATAATTAGCATGCGATTCAACTTTCAAGGGAACACTTGATACTTGAAAAGAAACTTGAGAGAGGTACCAACAATTTCTGAGATTATGACTGCTTCATGAATCAATAATATCCACTACTTGTGAGATAGTTTAGATAGGTTTTACAGGACCAAAAACATGTAAATACAGCAACTGAGGTCTCCTTGGACAAGATTTCCAATTTTCACAACATTCTTACAGTGAATTTTGGTCTTTTCTAACCCACTGGTTTTGGATATAAACCAAAGAAAGCTTTCACAAATATGATCTAAAGACATGGAGCTCAACATCAAATAAAAAATGAGCAGAAGATTTTGATGGGATAAAGGCGTTCATATGCAGCCTACGTTAAAAAAAAAGGAAAAAGAAAAAAAGAAACATAAAAATTCATTTGCTGCTATGCGGATGAAAATTATGGTAGATAGCTTAGAAAGCAAATTGAGAATCTAATGATTTTACCAGTACTATGGAAAGGAAAGTAGAAGTTTACATGATTTAACATATATAGCTTAAGAAGCAAACTGAGAATCTAGTGATTTTACCAGAACTACGGGAAGGAAAGTAGAAGTTTACATGATTTAACAGTAAAGGGGAAAAAAGGAGTTGGAAGCTACTGACTTCCAAGTTTCACAATACAATCATGTGACCATTTCCCTTGGCCCCAAATTTCTAGCAAAAGATCAATTTCTGGGACAACTTAATTCTTGGATATTCTAAGTTCCAAGCTGAATTTAATCAATAAAAGTTTAATTTTCAGTAAAATAACATCCAAGCACCTGCAATTCACCTTTTTTTCCTACAAAGAGTTTAAAAGAAGATGGAGCAAAGTAACCTTGATAGACTGCACTGCTCGCACATAATCTTTTAAGGGTTCTTCAAAGTTCATTAGAAGGTCATGAGCCTGCATCAAGGACCAGTTCATGTTGTCAACGAGAAGCTTGTGTAATGGAGCCAAATCATGATTAATATTGCAAAAAGAACGAATATATAGCTTGAAGTACAGTATGTCCATTCACCTCCTTGTATAGCTTCAAAGATAACGATTCTGATTTTGAACCAAACTCAGAGATCACCTTCCCAAGAGAATTTCCGTCACTAGAGCCCAAAAGTTTGATTGCCTTACCAAAATCTGACAGCGACTGACCCAGCTCTGACAAAACGATTACACAACAGTGGACAGGCTTTTACAATTATCCAGTCAACAATAACTAAGAGGAACAGAAAACAAATATAAAGGTGACCCTTACCCCTATGTCTCTTTACAAGGCGAAATGCCTGTTTCTGTGCCTCTGACAAGTGAATTTCAAGCTCAAAAATATAGTTCTTTAGCTTCTCATATTCAGGATTTGACTCCTCAATAGGCTTTTCCTTTCCCAAAACAACATCACTAACCTTAGACTGCACATCCTATAGAATTAAACCATGTAAATGACTGTTCAACTCCATTCTAGTGGACACAGATTTCTGTTAGTAACAAAATTTACTAAACATTAAAAGAACCAAAAATAGAGAAATAGGCTAAACCTCCAATGAAGAGACTAGTCTCCGAAACTCCTAAACCAAGCAAATGTCAAAATTTAAGTGCACTCATATTCTTTGCTGATATTATTTCATTCTCTAATCTGATTCATTCTGTTAGTATGTTAAAATTGAATAAGATGGCTATAAACTACTTAATTTAATATATTACTATGAAATATAAAATGAGTTTGACAAGGAACAGGTAGGTTTCAAACTTAGACCCTATCACTTGGAAAATACATATTTCGATACTTAATTAGAAGACCCTGGATGCTGAACATGATTTAAATCCTTTAAAATGCCTGTAAACAAAAAAAAGTCCAAATGCTATTCTGATTCTTTCATGGGCATCACATGGAATAAAGATGGATAATTTCTAATAGCGAGTTGGTTGGATCTAAGGCTGTATTTTACTTAAGAGGACAAACTGGTCTCTGATATCAAATTTTGAGATCATAAATACATATATAGCTAAACATTGTTATATTAAGTAAGTGGCTCGGGTTTCAAGTTTTGAGGCCCCATCGCTCATCTAGGGCGGAAAAACATTGTTATAATAATATTATTAACAGGATACATTCTGGCCTTTAGGCAAATAATGCTATGGGATTCTGGCATTCGCGAAATCTTGCCCGGAGACTCTGGCATGGAATGAAAGCATCATTCAAGTATCCAGCCTTCAGCAAATTAACTTCTGAGATTGTGGCCTTTGTGGTATTCATCTTGAAAGATTCTGGTGCTTTTTGGCATCTGATCTTCATGGATTCAAGCCCCTTACATGTATTCATGTAGTGAGATATTTTGCAAATTGGAGTTTTTGAAATCATAGTGACATATTTGTGGTACTATGCTTTGCATAGTTATTACTATAAAACGTTTCTTTAACATAAATATTGGGACGCCTACAAATTAAATTTTGTTAAATGAAGAATTATCATTTAGTTTGTAAAATTGTTTTGCCTTGATTTCTGAATCTAATGAGTGTGTATGTGAAGACACTAGCTAAGTTGTCCACCCTGTTCATTTTTTTCCTGAGATCCTCAGGTTACATTTTGTTTCAGTACTGGTGAGGAATACAAAGGGTATCTTCAGCAGTTATTGAGAATTAGATTGAGTAAAATATCAGAAATATGATTTATTTAATACAGTTTTTGGTTTATAATGAGAAAATTATGTATATGCAGGTGGATAATAGGATAAAGGAAATGAGTTGGAGGTAGAACCAGTAATTTATGAGTAATTATGCTATTTGGTTAAGGATTGATTTAAGGGTTAATTGCGGATAGGCCCCTGATTAAGGGTTAATTGCGGATAGGCCCCTGTAGTATCGCCCAATTGTTAATAGACCCTATGTAGCAGATAGACCTCCTGTACTATTTGTCCAAGGATAGACACCCTCAGTGAACTTTTTCTTGACTCTTTTAACAGTAAAAAAAATTAGCAATTGGGGGTCTATCCAAACCAATAGAACCGCAAGGCGTCTATCCGCCTATACAAAACATTTTTTATTTGTTTAAGAGAAAAAAAATTCACTCAGGGGGGGTCTATCCGCACAATTAGAACTTCAGGGAGTCCATCCACAACTGGATGATATTATAGGGGGTATATTTGCACTTTACCCTTGATTTAACGATTACAAGATACTGGCAAATTATAATTGTCAAGAGCTAAGTGACGGGTCAGTAACTCAATTACTGTCTAAACTGTTAATATAGGACCAACAGTATATGTCTAATCTTTGGTTGGAAGTTTTAGCATTGTAACAAGAATACGAGGTATCATAGAATAATTTTTTTTGTTATCACAGTCATGCTATACCTTAAATATTTGCATAAAATCTGAATGTTTTTTCTTGAACAGTCCAGCTTCTTGAGATCGTGCTCTTTCCATTGTCTGCAAACAGGGCCACAGCAATCTCAAGTCAGCACATTCTTCTAAGGAAAGATTCTTAAAAGTTAAAAGTATGGAATTATATTTTAACTTTAATACAATTTCATTCCTTCAATAAACCATAATAAATGCAGCACATCACTTGTAAAGGCTTGGTGTGAATTGTGGAAATTCATTTACAGGGCAACAGGGAACTGCATTTTTTGAGTGAAATGCTCATGAATTTGAGATGGAATATTGAATAAAGGAAAAACAACTGTCATATTGCTTCAACAACCAAATACAGCCTAAGCCTCTTCACTGGATAAGTTCTTGACATTGTATGGTAGCGAGCATAGGTATTAGAGGTTATGCCCAGGGGTGAGGGGTGACCAGAAAAGCCTGCGGCCCAGGCCCAACCCTGTTTTTTCGGGGCCCGGAAAAAGCCCGGAAAATAGGGCCTGGATCCCAGCTGGTTACCTGGTGCCCGGCACGGTCCGGGATGCAGGGGTTCTAAGTGCATATATACATATTTAATTTAAGAATATAGTTAAAATTGGTGATTTTGAGATTCGAAATATGGCTAACTCTATGGGAGATTTAAAGCCCACCAAATAGCCAAACTAATTTTATGTTATATTTGATGTGGTTTTTGTTATTATAGTATATTTATAATTTATATATTGTGTATTTGTATATGTACTTATTAGTATATTGTATATAAGTATATATACACACACACCCTCTAAGTATATATATACTTGTATATACTTATTAGTATATTGTATATAATTATATGTTGTATATAAGTATATATAATATAGTTATAAGTATTGTTATATATAATTATATTATATCTAAGTATATATACGTAATATCATATAAGTATATAAGTCTACTTATATAAATATAATATAAGTATATAAAAAATACATAAATAACTATGTAATATGTATATATAAATTAGTATATTTATATGTTTATATACTTATAAGTGTATACTTTAAGTATATACATAAATACCATATAAATATATAAGTATACATATGTATAACTATATACATATAAGTATATAAGTGTTAATATATAAACTTGATACTTATATTATATAGTTATAAATATATTTACATATAAGGTACAAGTATATACTCAATAATTATATACTTCTTATAGTGTATGTATATGTGTGTGTGTGTGTGTCTGAATATGTGATACTTGTATATTGAATATATAATTATACTTATAAACTTATATGCAAGTATATACTTTATACTTATAAGTTAAATATTTTTTGCAAAAGTTCTTAGCGGTTTTTTACAAAAAATTACAACAATTAAGAAAAATTTAATCCAACAATTTATAAAAAATCTAATTCATATTGATTTTTTTGTTACAAAACACAATGTTTAATTCAAAAAAAAAAAGGGGGCCGGCCAGGGCTTTGAACTCAGACACCCCTAGCTATGTCATGAACGGCAGTGAATCACACAGAATAACTACATATTCTTGCTTCAATACTGACAAAATTTCTAAAAAGGATATCTACGTTATAGAACCAAAGAAGAGCACATGCTACTGGATCCCCGTAATAAAGACTAACTGATGTGCCCCCTGAAATAGTTTCATGCATTACAAATAACATGCAAGAAGATGATTCTAAACAAGATCGTATCATAGGCAGAAATAAACCAAAAAAAGAAGGGAGTGCCAGAAAATAACTTGCATAATGAAATAAGTGATCCACGAATCTCATCTTGAAAGATCATTTTCAAGAAATCAGATATGATAAATAGTACAAATATTTCAACAAATATACATAGCGCAGGCATAACAAAATCATTATAAAGACTACTGATCATGAATTTTTACCTCTTCATCTTCCTGTAAAAAGATCCTTAAATCCTCACTTTGCTTAAGTTCAGGGTGAGAAGCTATTCGATTTACAAATATGTCCAGTGCCTGACGTCTCATTTCAATAAATTCTGCACTGAATCTGAACTTCTCTGAAATGCATGCAGATGATATGAGCATGTTAACAATAAAGATTGGATTCAACACACTGTAATAATGTCATAGGACTAGGAGAGCAGATTGCATTAGTCACAAGGGATTGCAAGACAATAAATAAAGGCTTCATATACAAATTCCTGAATATAGTTTGATCAGCCAAAATTCCTAATATGCACACAATCATTAAAAACCCAGGAGGTGTAAATATATGAACAATATTTAGGTAAACTACTAGTACCAAATCCAACTGAGTTTCATTATTTAACAACGGGAAAAGAAGCTTTCACATAAAATGGCTTTTGTAATGGTGTAACTTATCTATAGTGCTTTCACATAGAATGGTCTATAACTTACCTACAGCGCTCTTCTCAGGTAGAGGAGGAATGAAGATTCCTTTGTATTTTTCAGCAAGCCTGTCGTGCAACCAAACAAAGTCACTGTAACGGCGAATAACAATCTTTTCTTGCCCTTGATATTCAGGTAAATTTGTCTGGAGAGATAACATTGAGAAAAATAATAAATAAACATAAAACTTGTGGCAGTATGTGCAATATGAGAAAAAAGAATATGGAAGTAACTGGAGATAACTTTCAACCAAAACTGTAGGAGTGGTATTGTTGGATTCAAATTATAATGAGAGAGAAATATGATCAAGACCAGAATAAAGAAAATTATGTGCCCTAGTCCTATGTAGTGTAAGGCAACAACTGAACAAGTTTTCTCTGGAAAAACGGAAGGGAATCAGTAGAATCCCACCATCACGCTCTCAACTACGGTACAATTTTAAACCTCTAGCAGCAAAAGTAGCAAGATAAAAATGAACTTTCAATCTGACAGTTCAGATCAGGCAGTAACGACCAACGTCGTATGATCTCCTAATCAGCAGAAAATCTCGAATCTACAGAAAGCCAACATGCTAGAAAACCTATTGTATACTTCATATGGCCATGGGGCTCTTATCGCTCACCTAAGTTAGCGATCAACTTTCAATGATTTAATTGGATGAGCTGAACCATTTCAAAAAATACCAGAAGCACAAAGCATTAATAGGTATATAGCTAGGGAAGTATGAAGTGTGCCTTTAAAAAAAACAAACAAAAACAAAAAAAATCTGAACTCATCCAAAAGAAAACATAATCTCTTGAGAAAAGTTTTGTTTCAGACATTCTATCCAAGTGATATCACCAAATAGAGCCAATATATGCAAGCGTGCTTCTTTGTTTTCAAAAGATGACATTAACTATGGCTAAAATACTAAAGAAAAAAAAAATCAATGCCGTTATCCTTCAACCCTACTCATTTTTAGTCCTGAAACGCTCAAGTTTTATGTGACTTCATTCCACTCTACGGACACATAGCTATCCACAGACCCTCGCCAATTATCACTTATTGCATAATTTCACCAATATTTCATAACTCATCGCCAAATTTCTACAGTTCTCCGAAAGATGTCCTTATTTTCACAATGTAGCTTCTTAAACCAAACCATAAATGCACGAAATCTGGGGGGAAATCAACATCATAAACCCTAAAAGAACCGAAATACAAAATTCCCCAACAATTAATACAAAAAAAAACATCTGGATCACCCAAATTGGCATTAAAACATGCAGCCAATCTAACTAGTTAAAAAATAGACTAAAAATGAAAGCATACATCGCGAATTGGGGCCAGGGTACAAAATTACCTTGCTGATGACGCGATACGAGGTGTAGGCTTGAACTCCATTCCCTAACTTCACCGGGTCGGTGACCGTAACCGATAGAAACGGCAGACGGAGATCTAGGGCTCTGAGAAGAAGAAGAAGAAGAAGAAGAAGAAGCCGACGTACTCGGCTCCTCCGAAAAATCACAGAAGCCAATCAAAATTACATATCAGCCCCTTGAACAGAAATTCAAGGTCGAAAGACAACAGAGGTCTTGCTGTAATTTACCGTAGAGATCATGGCGCCTTTATTGTTCCGACGGCGAGCAGCGAGCGGCGGAGGAGGAGGGGGGAGAGGGGGCGTCGATGGAGGCGAGAGAAGTGAAGAACGGGCGAGTAGTTTGCTTTCCAGAGATCTTCAGTACTCGATTCCAGTAGCCTCGGTATTTTCACTGACAACTACGCCGCCCTTGATTTCACCATCTCAATGGATGTGGGTCCCCATCTACTAAGTGTAGGAGACCGTCAAAAAAGTTACTCGGGTAGCGTGTACTAAACGCGTGCGGGTCCCACACGTCATTAGCAGTACAATGTTCGCGCTAAACAACTTCGGAAGCGCAAACTTTTTTCGCTCAGCCCGCCATGGACTCGGTCCGTCATCAGAAACTCTCAAACTCCGACCACTTCATCTCATCCTCATCCGTAATCCAACACAATCCCATTCTAAACCCTAACTCGAGCAAATCCTCGTCTATCCAGGATTCCGAGACTCGAAGCCCTAAATTTCTCGAGAGGAAGCTTTTGATGTTGCCGGCGTCGAACCCCACATCAGTACCTTGGCGAGAGTGATGACGGTGATCTCATTAAATTTACTGTGTTGATTTTGGTTTCTTTGATTCTCTTTGGCGAGATTTATTATGCTGTAGGGTCGACACACGGATGACTTAGCCTAGGCCGCCATGGGTCACATCCTGGTCCAACCTATAATATACGTGAGTTACGAGCTAGGCTGGGTTCAGCTCCAGACTCGTGACCAGAGAAATAGGTCTGACATACCTTAACCTAGTTAGCCATCGACTCGACTCAACCCGACACGAAATTTTAATTATTAATTTTTAGTTTTTAGTTAATATTTTTTACCTCATGTATTTGCAATTTAAATTTAAACTAAAGGAAAATTATTAACTTCTTGTGGACGTAGGTATTCATTCGAAGTTTGAACTTTGCATATTTTTGTGTTTGCGATGGTTTTCTGTGTAATGTTTATCTTTATACAATGTATGTGTATATATATACCATTTTAAATAAAGAGAAAAAATAATTTAAATATAATTTAATAAATACTAATATGAAGTTAATATAGTTTAAAAATGAAAAATAAGAAAAAGGCTAAAAAAACACGAGCCGACTCACGACCCATGGGTCATGAACTGGGCTCACCCTGACCCGCCCCTAAGTGGGTCGTGGGCCAGGCAGGGTCTAGTCCTAGATCCGAGATCAAATAAATAAGCTAGGCTTACTCTGACCCGGACAGACTCGGGTCAGGCCCGACC